ATTTTGGCATGATATAAGAGAGAGGCTCCGGTAACGTAAAAGTAAGTGAAAGTAGTTTAGGTATTTTTTTATTTTTTATTTGGTTGGGTATTTGTGTAGAAAGTCTATTTTGAAGAAAAAAGTAAGGGAGTAAGTTTCATATTTTTTTATTTTATTTTATTTTATTTTATATTTTTTCCGTATTTTAAATCGGTTGGTTGTGAATATGCCACTGACCGGTTAAAGTCCAAAAAAAAAAAAAAAATTGTAACACCCTAAACGATTATATTTAAAAGCTAAATGTAAAAAAAAAAATTGTAACACCCTAAACGATTCAATTTAAAAGCTAAATGTTGGAAGTAATTGTGGCCTCTTTGTATAATGATAAATGTTCATAGTATACAATCCCGAGAAAAAAAAAAAATGAAGTATAGACGTATACTGCCAATGTTCCTTTGTGACGGAGGTTTCAGTGAATCCCCTTGCTCATCTATTTATATTTCTCCCTCCAAATCATCTTACCAAATTTAGAGGTTGAATATATCGGCGTAAACTACATGAGATTATCTTTCAAACAATTGTTTTATACAAAATACGGTCCAGAGGTATAAAGCATTCATCTTAAAGATGGATGTAAATAGGTGGTCCATCTAAAAACAATTGTAACTAACGGTCTAAATGTTTTTTTAATATAATTATTATTTTTAGTTTTCATTTATTTTATTTTTTATATTCATAATCTTCATGTTAAAGAATATACAATTTCTAAAAACTAGGATCAAATTATATTTAATATATGTATTTATTTCCAAGCCCATATTTCTACATGTGCAGGCATGGCCGCATGGTAACGTGTCCTTGTCTTTTAATGGGAAATTTACATTAATATCCATCATAATTAGTGTCAGAAAAAAAATATTTCCCCTTTTCCGTATTTCCTTTTTTTATAAAATATCCCTAATCCAAAACTAATAGTTTTGGACCATTTTGATTCGTTATAGCATGTATTCTTGTTTTCTTTTTTTTTGATAATGTTACTAAAGCTTTATTAATCAGTCAAAAGTTACAGCAAATTAGAAAGGAAAAACATCTTAAATAAACAAATTCTGCATAAACACCCCTTGTTTTGCCAATCTATCGGCAATGTCATTAGCCTCGCTATACACATGCTAAAATGAGATTTGGATACCCTCACACATATCCATAATATTTAGCCATTTCCTCCTCAAGCTTCATAGTAGCCTGGATTTCTTATTGCATCAATTTATCACATTCAGATAGTCCCCTTCAACAATACATGACATTCTGATATTCTTCTGACTCACAATCTGAACTCTACACTCTAATGCATCCAATTCCACTTCATTAGCCGTTACCTTCCCACAAGAGCCAGCAAAACAAAAGATCACCTCTCTAAATGCATCTCGCAAAATTCTTCCAACTCCAGATAGGCCTGGGTTTCTTAATGAGCTTTCGTCTAAGTTAAGTTTGATACTCCCTAACATAGGTAAGCTCCACCTACCTTTTGGTCTTACTTTCATTACTTTCATTATTTTTGAGCATGCACTCAAGCCAACAACTTTGATCGTACATCATGTAATAGATCAAAGGGATCCAAAAAGTTCTGGACCGCCTTGATCTATACTTATGTAAGGAAATCAAAGCGGTCCAAAACTAGTAGTTCTAGAACACCGTGTTCCTTACAATGACCGGTTCAAGAGTAAGCTCTGGATCGCTTTGATTCCATTCTATCGGTCGTCAACAACTAATGAGCAGTTCTAGTTCCTTAGCATGAGCAATCTGGAACTACCAATTCCAAACTGCATTGATTCATTACCATGAGCATTCACGAAACCACTTCGATTCCTTATAATGAGCGATTCACAACGTATAGATACCAACAAGGGATTTTTGGAATAAAAGTAAAAAATAAAAATAAGCCTCAAATGTAAGATATGAGATGTTTTTTAGTGCCACAAAAATTAGGAGATACTAATGTATATTTTTGTTTTTTAATTCCGACAAAGTTTAAATCATTTGCATAAATTCCTTATTCGAAATGCTAAAATTTGGGGATTATACAATAATTCACAAATATTTTTTTCACAATTAAAAATACAAAATTTATCAAAATACACCTTGTTTACGGGCCATTTGACAATATACCCATTTTCAATTATCATCCATTTATTATTAATTTTGACAGGATTTTCGAAAATTAAACAAAAATATTAATAAAATAGTATCTATTATATATAAAGCACCACTTAGGCTGGTACATATGTGCTGCGGAATAAAAATTGCTCCCCTCTTAGTTATATTAATACCTTAGAAATAGGGTTTAGTCATTTGTTATAGCCTTAAAGATGAAAACTTAAGAGAATATAATAGTGTGATATAAGAGCTTTGAATGATCTAATATATGTACCGTACTATACTTATATGTGCTTCCTCATGTACATACTCTATCCAATCTTGGATGTTAAAAAAAAATCGAAATTTAATTTTTATGCCATATGTTCTTATGGTGGATTTCTAAACGTTCTACCTGGTATGTTTTATTCCCATGTCATTTTTTATTTATTTATTTTTTACCAAAAAATCTCCTAGTTTGGAACTCTCAATTCGAAACTACTCACCGGAATTCTAATGGGCAGTTTGGAACTAATAGCTCTGGACCGCTGTGATCTGCCCTTCAATTTGTAATGTTTCTAAGCAGTAAAAACTAATAGCTCCAAATTGCTCATTGTAAGGAATGAAGTAGTTGGACACAATTAGCAACTTAAAGAATAATAATATGTCGGTAAACCAAAATGACAGT